CCTCTCTGGACAACCTGAAGAGAAAGCTGGCCAGCCCCCCAATCCTAGCCTACCCGGACTTCGAACTACGATTCACGGTCTTCGTGGACGCATGCCCCATAGCCCTGGGGGCAGTATTGATGCAAGAACAACGAGGCCGACACCGAGTGATTGCGTATGCTAGCCAAGCCCTGGACGCCTCTCAACAAAAATGGATCAAGAAGAAAGTCGGAGTCTCGGAGATCGAGTGTTATGGGTTGGTGTGGGCCACAACCAAGTTCAGACCCTACCTCGACCGGAGACACTTCACGGTCTACACGGATCACGCGGCCCTAGTATGGTTATACAAGACCGGATCGAAGTCCGGAAATGGGAAGTTGGCCCGGTGGGCCGTGCACCTACAAAGCCTGGATTTCACAGTGGTTCATCGCCCTGGAGCACAGATGGGGTGCGTTGATGGACTGTCACGACTCCCCATAGAGTCCCAGGGCGAACCCACCCTGAGCGCATATCATTGGGATGCGGAGACCGAAGATTTCTCAGCGGTGCCCCTGCCGGCAGGGGGTCCCCGAGTGTGCTCTATAGCCTCGGGAGTAGTGGGAGCGATCACAAGGGGCCAAGCCCGCGCGTCGGAACCACCCCATGAACCCCCGGAAGCCAAAATGATAAAAGGAGTGAGCCCCAAGGACCCAAGCAAACTCCCCAGAACCCCTGACCGTTGCCCCGACGGCGAAACCCCCGTCTCTGAGGGCTTGGAGGATTCTCTAGTAGATGCTAGAGAATCCTCCGGCTGCCGAAGCGGACGGGGTGTCACCCCTGAAACTACCTCCGTACTACGACGACACGTACGCTCTGCCCGACCGGGTACTACGTAAAGAACAGGCAAGGGATCCGTTCACCATTTCCATGAAGGCGTACCTCGAGGACAAGGCACTTCCCCTGGAAGAATGGCTTATGAAGGTGGTAACCCGGACGTCCGAGCATTACGAAGTGAAGGACCAAGTACTCTATCGGAGGGTGATCTTGAAGTCCCCAATCAGAAATCCCAGGTTGAATCTAGTACCGGTAATTCCGATCTCGATGACGACCGACGTCTTGGCGCTCTGCCACGACTCCCCGTTGTCTGGGCACTTCGGAAGAGAACGGACCTTGGAAAGGGTACGACGAGTTGGGTACTGGCACCGATGGGGCGAGGACGTCCGGGAGTACTGCATCTGTTGTGTCCGATGTGGCGCCGCCAAGGGTACGAGACCCTGGAAGCAAGGGCGACTGCAACGGATGCCCGTGTACGGCCTCAGGGGCCCGTTCAGTTTCGTCGTGGTCGACGCGCTCGGCCCCTTACCAACCACCCCCGGAGGGAACAAGTTCATCCTGGTGTTCATGGACTACTTCACGCGTTGGGCGGAGGCTATACCGGTCCCAGATCTCAAGACCACTACCTTCGTGACCGCGTTGATAGACGACGTGATATGCCGGCATGGGGTGCCGGACAAGTTGCTGTCGGATCGCGGGTCGAATTTTGTGACTAAACTCGCCGAAACCCTCTACCAGACCCTGGGAATCGAGAAAGTGGCTAGTGCCCCCGGACATCCTCAGGGACAGGGGCTGGTGGAACGATTTAACTCCACGCTGGCCACAATGTTGAAAATGTACGTAAATGCGGCCCACACGGACTGGGACGTGTACCTGCCACGGCTACTATGGGCTTATCGTACCGCCCACCAGGAGACTCTGGGAGATACTCCGTTCTTCTGCATGCACGGGAGGGATCCCGTGCAGCCCTTCCATTTGGCTTTCGCGAACCAGGAGCCGCTTTGGAAGTCAGACGAACTCCCACAATGGCGCAGGAAACAGAGTGCGTGGTTCACAACCACTCGGAAGCTAGTGGAAGCCCAGTTACTCCAAGGGCAGAACCGAGATGCGACCTCTCGAGACAGTCAGCGGAAAGTTGACTTCCAACCCGCAGATTCCGTATGGGTCTACCAATACTTCCATAAGACGACACACCCTGACGACATCAGAGTCCGAAAGTTCGCCTACCACTGGCACGGACCCTACCGAATCCACTGTCGGCAAGGGGAGAACACGTACCGGATTTACTTACCTACCCACCCCGACCGAGTCGTCCCTATCAACGTGGACCGGCTCAAGGCTTTACGAGGTTATTGGACTCGCCCGTTTAACGACGAGGTCCCGGAAGGATACCAAGAGACTGATGGCACCTGGGAGGAGGCCTGTGACGTCCTTCTGGGCGACGATCTGCTTCCAGACTCGAGCTTCATCGACCGCCTTGAGTTCGCCGACGGAGACGTGGCCTACACGAACACCCCTACGCCCATTGTCAAGGTCCTGGACAAGAGGCGCACGGCGCCCGGGGAGCCCGAATACCTGGTAAGGCATGCGGATGGAGAAACCCATTGGACCCCGCGATCTCGGCTTACCGATTACGAGTCGTTCATCTCGGAATATGAGAACCTGGAACGCTCTCACCAAGGCCTTCCTACCCTACGTCGCAGCCCCAGACTAGCGGAACTCGACGTGGAAGCCGTGGTTCGCTAGTACTAGCTACTCCGTCAGTCAGCCCGATCCTTTCTTTGGATTCCGGGAAGACTCAAAATACTGCATTTATACATGAAACACTGCATTACACAAGAACCGGACTATTCTCGCCGTCCCGGAAAGTCAAAGGTCTATGATCACCGTCTCCTCATCGGTGTCCGTAGCGGAATTGGACAACAAGTCCACCATTTCCGGTGCCGGGAGCGTACTCTGAACCCCGGAAGCTGAAAGGGTTGGGGACGCGCCGAACGTCGTGTCCGTTTTCGGTACCCCGGTGGTGTGGGGAAGTGGGGGCGTATGCCCCGTGGGGGGAATACCCGCTGGGCGCGGCATAACACGTGCCCACTGGGACCCTTAGGGGGGATGCGAACGGTCGCCCACCACGAACGGGAAACGCCCCTGATAGACGCCGGCGCGTCGGCACTCTTCGGGCTGAGCATACAACCACGTCAACACTCGCGACACTCTCTCCTGAGAACAGTTCGCCGGATTCAAGGGGTCAAACTTCTTCAACCAAAACTCCCTGAGCGAGCGCCCCTTGAGGAAGGCTAGAGTGACCATGAAAGGGGGATCGAACGGCTCCGTGCGAGAAGTGGACGGAACCTCCGGCCGGAATTCCGAACCTTGCGACGACAAGTATTCCTGCACGTCTCGAGCACCCTGGACCGAGGCCATCATCTTCAAAGATACCCCGTCGCGAAGGAAGTCCGGCCAATACGAATGGGGGTAACAAAGGAAGCGCAACAAGTCGGTTCCGTGGCGCCGAATGATGCGGTATAGGCATCCGATAATGCCCACCAATGGCCCCATGGCCGCCTCAACTTCGGCATTCACTTCGGCCGACCCCCGCATGAAACGACGGTTCCAGTGCGCGAGGGCATGGTTTTCCCAGAAGTCCTCGAGTTGTTCCTGGAGCTCCGCCCACAGCGGAAGTCGACGCCACGACGAATGAATAAACGACTCCTGCGCTTTGTACTGTTCCCACGGCTTCGATCAACGTCTCGGGGTAGATTCCGGTCCGCGGATGGCAAAGGAACAGCAGCGTGAACGCGGGAGACTTTTCGTTTACCGGGACGCCCTCCTGTGGCCGAGCGTTTCGCGGGACGCGAAGGGGATGGGGGTACGGGTGCCTTGGCTCCCGCCTGTCCTGGGAGGGTCGAACCCTTAGCCCCCGAGCCCGGAGGGGCCTCGACAACGTCCGCCTCCAGGACTCCCGACGACGGTGTGGAAGACTCCTTCAACGCATCCCTCATGACCGGGAGGGCCGTATTCACCCAAGCACTGAACGTCGGGCCCCGGACTCGCCCAAGCAGGGGCTCCGTCAAACCGCGCGCGGCCTTGGCAGGAAAAATGCCTACGCTCTCGATGCAGGACTTGAAGCGATCCGGATCACTCGAGGTCCACGCCTCTATCAGCGGCGCCACGCCGGCGGCCCCGGACACCTGCAAATGTTGCGCGACCCAATCCCAAAACGACGGGACGGCATCTTGGAAGTGCTCGTTGGCATGCAACAAGGCTCGGGCCGACGTCCGCTCGCTCTCTTGGAACGCTTGAAGTTTCTCCTCGAGATCGTGGCTGGCCTGTTTCTCACGAAGTAACTTTTCCTCCAACTGGGCCAAATCTTCGCGGTGATGCTGGCCCTGGCTCGCGTACCCCTGTACTCGGGACTCCAGGGCTCCCAACTTTCGTAATGCGTCGGCCTGGAAGGCCTCGATTTGGCTCCGGAGGATCTTGTTTTTAAGGCGGGAGTCCTTGGCCCTCGCCTTCTGAGTCTTGGCCGCCTCCCGGAGGTCTTGGTTCTCGGCCAGTAGGATGTCCCAAGCCGGGTTGCTAGCAGAAAAACGGGGAGGTTGCGCTTCGAGTTGCGCGATGCGGTCTTGGGCGACTCTGAGTTGTTCCTGGAGTTCTCCCGCCGTGGTAAGTGCCCGATCCCGATCCTGACGCGCCTTCTCATAGTCTGCTCTCTCGGTTTCGAGGCTGCGGCGAAGGTCCCGGCAACCACCAACGACTTGTTCTGAAGCGCCAGCTTGACAACCCCTTCCTTCCCGGCGACCAACCTGGCCGAATGCGCCGTGTAGTTCCGGGCATCGTTCACCTCGGCAGTCATGACTTCCAGGGCCTGGTCCGCCTCTTGAACTCGCCGCCCCAGCTCGGTGGCCTTTTCCGTTTGGGCTGTCAACTGACTCGTCAGGTCCCGGGTTCTGCCTGCTGGTCGTTCAGCCTGGCCTGGGCTTGGTCACGCTGCTCCCGGAGGTCGTGTTGTCCTTGCTCCAAGGATCGGAGCGACTCTTGGGCCTCTTGTAGCAAGTCGTGGGCCCCCTCCTGTTCAGCCTGTGCCGTATCCAAGACCGGTCGACTCGAATCCAGGGCCGTCCGGAGGTCCAGGACTTCGGCGTTCACTTCAGAAAACGTCGCTCTCAAGAATTCCACTTCGTCCACCAGGGCGTGACGAGCTTGTGACATGTCGTGGGGACCGCTCCCCAGGGTCGACGCCATCGCTGCCCGAACTTCCTGGAGGACGCGTAACGATCGTTCGTTTCGCCGAATGCTGTTGCGCAGGTCTGCGATGGCATGGGAGAGCACGGTGCGCATACGCAAGAAGGAATATGGCGAGGCGTGGTCATCCGGCCCCTGAGTGGCCGCCTGCTCTGCGAGCGCCGCGTGGTCTCGGGTGGAGGAGACTGTAGTGGCATCGTCGTCCGGCGCTCCGGAAGTATCTGCGGGTCCCCGCGGCCGAGCCGTCGGTGGCGGTGTCATCCTCGCCGAACTGTGATCCATGTTCGTGGCCTCCGAGTCAGGTTGCCGAATGAAGCGACCTCGCTGTGTGCACCTTTTCTGGCTGCGGGATTCTTTCCGGACCGCGGCGCTAGCCGACCTTTCTCGCCCAACGACCATTCTCCCGGGACTCTGTGTGCTGATTGGTCCTTGCCGGAGCTTCGGACTTAAGCGGAGGAGAATGTCACGGGGTGAAAGAAAGCGACTTTCTTTCGACGTTTCCCGCTAACCGTCATGTCTCCGGTTACAGGATCATCATCCCACTGTAACTCTGGGACTAATCTGGTCGAACCCGTTACTCCCGGAACCAGCAATAGCCAGGTCCCCGATCTTCCCACAATGTTCTGGTGACTCTTTGAACCTCGGAACGACGCCTCCGCTTAGATAGCTAACCTTGACTTTTACTTTTGACTTACTCTACACGCTTGTGCCTTGTGTTCGCTCGCTCGCGCCGCGCCTACCTTCGTCAAATAGTTACAAACCCTGTGACAAATCTACCATCGGCAAGTCCCCCTGCAAGCTCACTAGGATGGCCACAGTCCACACGACGAACCGAAAGCCCACCAACACGACAAGACCTACAAAATGGCCATTGACAAAGCTAAGAGTCGTAGCTAGCAACGGTGGGAGTTCCCCGTGGAGGCCTTGTTGGTGTATGCGTCAGACGTAGCAGAGCTTCAACTGCACTCACACACACACCAACAAGGCCACTTGTGCCATGCCGCGAGGTCCGATTATTCGGCCATTCGTCCAAGATGTTTAGAACAATAGAATAGTAGAAGATCCATAGTGGACTAACAAGTAGAAATTCAGTTTTCATTTACACGATTAGCTATGGTGCACGTCAACTAAAACCTTCCATCATGCCAAATCCACGACTGCAGGTTTTATTGTTTAACGTATTCAAATTGTAGTTAAACCTTAATCGTTCATACGTTAAACCCTGATTTCATGCGTTTTATTCCTCAGGAGGTTAAAGCTGCGGAAACATTCCGGATACTACCTACGGATACCAGTCACATACAAACATCAAGATGCATTTCAGCGGCCACCTCTATGGCCAAATTTTCACCCG